GATTCCTGAGGCATGTTGTGCCTTTAAGAGCGGACACAAGTCGCTGCAAGAAAACCGATTTATCTCCCGTTCACCGTTGTCAGAAATTAAAGCAGCTATTACATCCCTCCGATGACTATGCCTTGTTTCACATTTAAGCCATTCGAGCGGGGGCGGCAGTCTCTTTAGTCGTGTTTTTGACTCAGTTAATAAATTAGGACGGTACAAATAAGAACATGACAAGAATAGCAGAATATGTGTTTACTTGGACAATATAATGCACACGCTAAATGGTCATATATCACTAACCGTGAGATTGTTACGCGGATAATCTCCCTTTTTTCTGTTTAGAAATGTACTGCTAACCGGAACACTGTTACACCGCGTAAAACATATATTTCACTAGTAGGATGGGGCGTAGGGGGTGTATATACTGAACACTTTTTGTATAACCATTTACTTGGTTTTAAAAGGGGCATATTTTTCATGAAATAGTCCTCTTTGCGTTCTTAGCGTTCTTATTTATATTAAGTACAATAGACCTGCGTCTATTTTCGTCATCTCCATATAATCATATTCTAATATTTATTTCTCAAGTTTGGACCGGGGAAAGAAACGAGAACATTATGTTAAAAAAAACTCCATTTTAACTCAAAACTCAAAAACTCCAACTCCATTTTTTGGCCCTGTCATAACACTTGCTCCGTCTGAGCCAAACCCACACAGATTGTCTGTGCTTAAATGGCAGGAACTCAATTCTTGAACAATAACCTCAGTGATTGTTGCTGCATTAGCACTGTGAGAGTTCTCAAGCACATCTTTGCAGTCCAGGAATTGAAAGTGTGAATCTCCCTGTGCATCAACATAGCCAACGTAAATCAGCAATTGTTCCATAGAAGAACAGTCGGTAACCTCGTCAACGAGTAGGCTAAACCACTTTGCTGTTTTAACATTTTCAACCAACTTAGTTTTAATCATTTGTCCAACAAGAAGCCTCATGTCTTTTTGACTACGTTCACTAGTGTTCTTAAAATGATTCATTGCCTCAACTCCAATCTGTTTCTGTAACTCAATCAGCGACAACAATTTTTTGTTAGATACTTCTTCCTTCCCTAACCAGTAACTTGCTAAAAAGGCATTAAATGTCACTAAGTCTTTGCTCTCTTTTGCTTCCCTGTGCATTGATACAAGGCATGAGTTACGCCGCTCAAGCTCACATAAGTAAGTACTATTATGACCCGTGGAGCGTTGATGATCCAAAATGGCACTATGTTTAAAGTTGTTTGATGGTGTGATATTGAATGTGTTCTGTTTATTGAACTTATTGGATGTATTATGAGTCTTACACAGTAGACAGAACATGCCTTTTCCTTCGACATACACCAGCCACCAGATACCTGTATCATCACTGTAAGAAGTTTTTCTATCAGTGAGCCATGCATGGCGAAAAATATCACTTCCTTTTTTCTTTTTTTCTTGGCCAGTACACTTTGGTGCCTTTTCACTACGTATTCTTTTTAGCTCAATTTCAGAAAGTTCACTGCACACACCTGAACAGGTATAAAAACTATGGAGTTTGCAATCACTCAAAGAATCCTCAAAGTGTTCCTTCAATAGCTCAACAGCTTCAGCTTTACTTAATTCATTTTTATTACTTATACAGATTTTCACAGGGTCAGAGGCATGTGATTCAGACTTGTTATTGTTTTTGTCAGTTTCTGAAATCTGAGCAAGTTGCTGATGTGGAACAAAATTTATCTTTTCAACCTGGGCAGGTGGTTCTACATTTTCCTGAGTATCATCACTGTGGCTTAGGTCAGATTCTAAAATGAACAAAGTTTTTTGTGCTATAATGCCATATTTGATACATTTATTAAAATTGTGAAATTGTTTGGTATGTGTTTAATTTGTTTTAATTTTTTTCTTTTGTTTTTGATTTTTGCACACCAGTATGAAGTTTACATCTTTTTTCCTTGCAAAACTGTGATATTAGCTCTCTACTGTGATATTGGTGATATAACTATATTTATTCTTTTTGAATATATATTTTCTAATATTATAATTCTTTTAGTGATCTGTTATGACTTTGGATCTTTTACATGACTGTGATATTTTAATAAGATTAATTCTATACATTATATATAGGGTCTATATCTTTTTGTGTTAATTCTAGCATATTATTTAATGTATTGAAAGGATTGTTCAAATATTTTAAAAATGATCTAATACTTTATTTTGCAAAAATAAAAATTCTACAATATTATGAAAAAAAGGATGGCACTAAGTTTTGAAAGAAATATTTCATATTTTAATTTTTATATTAAAGCCTATATATAGTTGTAGAGATCTACCTGTATTTTCCATACTATACTGTAGTCATGCATAGATTTTAAACAAGAAACCAACAGGCATAAAGATATTTTTATTCGTGAAATAGATATCAAATCATGTTCAAATCAATTAAAATTATATAGAAAAACGTAGTAACAATTTAAATTTCGCTCGTACCGAACATTCAATGACGTAGCCTCGTAGGTCAAACTGACATTAAAAAATGTATTCAATTACGCTTTTACTTTGTCAACAAATGATGTAAACCTAGAAAAAAGGTCATCAAAGTACCCTGTTCTTTTCTCCAAAGCGTATGAAGCGTTTGTTGTCCTCCGATTGTCTTTATTTTCTTCTTCGGAGGGCCTGACATTTTGACAGTTTTGACCTTAATTCCCCCACCCGTTACGGCATGCGTATCCGTGACATACAATTTACGAAATATCATTGGATAACGTAAACTTACGGAAAGAGACGAGTCGTTTTCTGTTACCGCATTGGTTCCGATTGTTAATCCCGAAACGAGACGGAAACAGTAAAAAAAATCTGATCAGTGCGCGCCAATATAATAGGACGATAAAATAGATGCGCTAACCGTATGCGCATAACATGCTTGGGATTCCACATATTGTTTTTGTTTACGATTCGGCGAACCACCAGTAAAAAAAGAAAACTACGAAGGATATTTTTGGGGGATTTTTTATTTTATGGTTTGGCAAAAGTAGCCGGCGGTAGACTGTGCAGTAGTCGGCGATTTCGCCGACCGCCGGGGCTTATGGAGAGCACTGGTTGTATCTATTATCAATGAAAATACTCTCGAGTCGAAAGAAAAATGGCCGCCATTTACAAATTCTAAGTTTCGGGGGCAGAGGAATTTTTTTTCAAGAATTATTTCTTTGAACAAAAAATACCCATTTCCTCAAAATACGCTATTATAAGTAGATTGTTTAGGAAATAGATATCAATTCTGAGTGCATTGTTGTAGAATAATGCACGGTTTGAGTTAAAATGCGTAGTAATATAATCACGAAGGCCGATAGGCCCACAGACACTTGTTTAGAAGCGAATATAAGGCATTTATAATGACATTACTCCACACTATATACTATAAATAACATTTACTATGACTACGTTCGCTGAACAATAGACAACAGTAACCAATAAATTGATGGTTACCGTTGTCTACTGTTCCTCGCACGTAGTCGTAGGAAACCAGGAGAGCGAAAAAGTACGATGTATGTTTTGTACTTTCGGTTTTGACAAAATGGCCGACCATCAACGGAATTTTGATTATAACTATCAACATCGTTAGCCTTTAAATCGTTTGTATGCATTATTCATTTTTCATTATCATTTATTCAGGTATATATAATATAGTAGGTATATATGAGCCGCGCCATGACAAAACCAACATAATGGGTTTGCGACCAGCATGGATCCAGACCAGCCTGCGCATCCGTGCAGTCTGATCAGGATCCATGTTGTTCGCTATCAGTTTCTCTACTTGTAATAGGGTTTGTAAGCGAACAGCATGGATCCTCATTAGACTGCGCGAATGCGCAGGCTGGTCTGGATCTATGCTGGTCGCAAACGCACTATGTTGGTTTTGTCATGGCGCGGCTCATATAATATAGTAAGCATACAGTTGTCATTGCAACCATGTTTGTTTGTAAAAAAACACGAATTAATTGCACAAATTAGGATAAGATCTAGCATCTATATTAAGACAAAAAATGAACGACGAATGACTTTTAGAAATGTGCATTTCCCGACTTTAAAGCAGCCAGCCATGCGTAGTGGCACATATTACCGTGAGGCAAATATTCATAGCTTTGCAGTGAACGTATTGCTTTGGCGATCGCACGCTCGAGCGTGTCCTAGTGAGCTTCTAAATATCAGTACCGAAAATGAAGCGAAACTGTCCGTTATAGGAAAATTACCTAAGCAATTTCAATAGTGCATATTAGGGCCTAATAGGTATTCCTTTTGAACTTGGGCTTCCTCGCTTAAACTGTTTGATTTGCGAGTAACTCGCAGTGCAGCAAAGGACAGTTTAAATATCTTCCACATACAAAAGCTGGTTACCCTCAATACTGGTTACCACCCGGCCCCCGCCCGTCACTAATTAAATTCATAATTGAAATGTAATATTGAAAATATATATTGAAAATATGTGTGCGGGGGAGGGTGTGTGTGGGGGAGGGGGTACAGAAATATCTGTGTATGCTACAAACGGTACGTAATTTAGGAGGAACTCCAAAAAAATGGAGTTGGGTCAAGGCTTCAGGCACTTGCTCCAAACATGCTTAGGTCCCACTGTATCAGCCATCGCCTAGCCTTAGCATGTGGTGATGCAAATGATGATGTGAAATACATTTCTCAAGTAGAACAAATATTGTACCAGTTATGGAAATGGCTAGAATATCCCAAACGTTGTGCTGCCTTTGTCAAAGTGTGTAAAAGTCTACATAAAATCAACCTGGAAAGTAACCCCGAGAAGCAGGAGAAAATCAGGACAAAGCTTGCTGTTAGAATTCAGAAAGCCTGTAGAACAAGGTGGTTGTCAACTGGCCAAAGCATTGCAAGTGTTTGCAAGAACTATGTTGCTTTAATGATGACACTTAAAAGCTTCAGTGAATCTGATGCCACAGCACATGGCTTACTGAAACGCATGAACAATGCGAAATTTGTAGGTGTAATGTTACTTTTAAACTCAATATTGCCTCACCTTAATGCTCTCAGCAAGCTATTCCAGAAGGATCATACATGCTACACTTCAATAAAACCAGCTTTGTCATGTACCAAATCAGCTCTTCAAAACATCAGAGATAATTTCAATGTTGTTGATGAACTTGAGCAGCAAATAAAACCTGGTGGTGCCTATGCTGAACTCGAAATAGAACTATCCAGTATTGACCCAACAAGAAAGTTCCTATCTAATCTACAAATGAACTATGTACAAGCATTATCACACAGCATCGATCGTAGATTCAGTGAGGCATGTCCTGTTTTACAAGCATTTTCAATCTTTGACCCAACAACATTACCTGCAAAGGCTGATGCAACATTTGCTGAGCATGGCCAGCAAGAAATTAAAATACTCTGCAATAAATTTAACATTCATCCTGAAGAAGCCTTTGCTGAGTGGCAGAATTTTAAATTTCACATGGAAGAGTGGAAAATACCCCAGGCTGTCATTAAAGGAGAAGATATCTCACCTGCACACTATGTCATGAAGAAGATTGTGAAGGAGCAAGCAGTGTTCAAGGTTGGATTTAGTAATATGGTTCAGTTGGCACAGATTTGCCTTACACAGCCGTTGTCAAATGCTGTTGTTGAGCGTGGGGCCAGTGCTGTGAAAAGAGTTAAGAGTCGGCTACGTAGCTCCATGAAAAATGACATGTTGTCTAGCTTGCTACATATTACACTGAACGGTCCATCCCAGAAATCTGACGAATGTCATTCACTGTTGATGGAAGCCACTCAAATTTGGCGAAAAACTCACATCAGAAATCTGCCACCACTGAAGACAATGCCTCCTGTGGGTGGTTCTGACCATACACAGAGCCTTCATCATGTAACTCCTGTGCTTACAGTTGACTGTGGAGTGCAAGCAGGTATTAATTAATTTGCTTGATCTTTAATATGTAAAATAAGAGAATGGTATTAAATTAATGCATAGTAAAATAAATAATATTTTAAATCTAAGCAGCCTGGTCTTATTTCAACTTTACTCAATTCCTGTATTTTTGATATTTTTATATAAAGTCAATATGCTGCTGTATGGAAACTTATATTACATGTATTTCTTTTAACAGACCTGCTACCACAACCCTCTCAAGACGTTGAATGCAATGTTGAGGTTGAGACACAGAAAGCTGTATCTGAAGCAGATGACTATCAAAATGCCCTTCATGCATTAGCCATGGATGACTCAGATTCCGGCCTTGAATCAGGCTCTGATGATTGTTTTTAGTTGTTAACTATAAAATGTTCATTAAACTGAGTTAAAATTTGATTTTTCTGTTCAATTTCAGTGTCTGAGCAAACCTTCCCAATAAAAAAACCAGGTCAGACAGTACCTAAAAAATGTACCAGAATGCACCAAAATGCACGATTTAGCATCTTTAAAAGCAAAATTTTCCGGGGGAGGCCCCCCGTACCCCCCCCAGCGGGAGGGGAAACCCCTCCCGCACTCTCCCCCTCCTCGCCGCTTCGCGGCTCGCGTATAATTGAAACAACTTTCACCGGTTACTTTTATTTGGCCACTGGCTACTTTAGTACTTATGGAGAGCACTGTACAACAGATTAAAATAAAATAAGATTATTACCTTTAAACATCGATCAAAAAAAACCTATCAATCACACAATGACAAACTGAAAGAGTTTACTGCACTTTTTTCCTTGACATGTCAAATTCAAAAGTAAACAATCTGGCACAAAATTAACATTTAGATACAAGTTCTCCAAGAAAATCGTCTGTTATTTTTCAATACTGTATAATATGACGTACATCGATGATGTCATTTGCGAATACATTATGACGTCACTTCATTAAGTTGGTGCTTAAAACTATTCGAGCTATCTAATTTGTTTGTAATTGAAATAAAAATAATAAATATCCCATATTCATTGGAGACTTGTCAGGGTATGAGATAAAATGTTTATTCAAAGGCTGATAAAAATGAGAAAATAAGCTATTGAAACAAGTCCGTTAAAATAGGCGGGGCTTAATTTTTTAATTATCATGCAAGTGTAATCGGCCAGTTACCATAGCAGTTGCATGATAAATTTATGAACACCACATATACGTACTGTGAAAAGTAGTGTAGACAATGAAAAAAAAGTATAAAATTTAACACAAATAAACCACGAGTATAACAGAGAATAAATCGCAAATTCACAACACAACGATGTAAAATGATTGTTTTATCACAGCATTTATCACAGAATAAGTAGCCTAAATCATAATATTATCAGTTGACAAGAGGGCCATGATGGCCATGAGGTCGCTCACCTGTATATAGCCCCCCCCCCCCCTCCACACACACACCCATAAGAAGATGTTTCATGCTAAACATCTAAGCTCTAGCTCATTGGGCTTTTTAAAAGAATATTTTTTTTAAGCTTTTACTATACACATATAGTTAAAAACAATGACACCCCTGGGGTGGGGCCAGTTTTGACCCCAGGGCTTTTATTTGAACAAACTTTGTAGACACTTACTAGAAGATGTTTCATGCTTAATATCTAAACTCTAGCTATTTGGGTTTTTCAAAGAAGATTTTAAGTTTTTGCTATACACATATAAGGAAAATCAATGACCCCCGGGGCGGGGCCAATTTTGACCCCAGGGCTTTTATTTGAACAAACTTGGTAGACACCTATTAGAGCATGTTTGATGTTAAATATCTTAGCTCTAGCTATTTGAGTTCTTTAAAAGAAGATTTTTTAAGTTTTTACTATATGCATATAGGGAAAATCAATGACCCCCTGGGGTGGGGCCAATTTTGACCCCAGGGCTTTTATTTGAACAAACTTGGTAGACACCCATAAGAAGATGTTTCATGCTAAACATCTAAGCTCTAGCTCATTGGGCTTTTTAAAAGAAGATTTTTTTAAAGTTTTTACTATACACATATAGTTAAAAACAATGACACCCCTGGGGTGGGGCCAGTTTTGACCCCAGGGCTTTTATTTGAACAAACTTTGTAGACACTTACTAGAAGATGTTTCATGCTTAATATCTAAACTCTAGCTATTTGGGTTTTTCAAAGAAGATTTCAAGTTTTTGCTATACACATATAAGGAAATTCAATGACCCCCGGGGCGGGGCCAATTTTGACCCCAGGTCTTTAATTTGAACAAACTTTGTAGACACTCACTAGAAGATGTTTCATGCTTAATATCTAAACACTAGCTATTTGGGTTTTTTCAAAGAAGATTTTTTAAGTTTTTGCTATACACATATAAGGAAAATCAATGACCCCCGGGGAAGGGCCAATTTTGACCCCAGGGCTTTTATTTGAACAAACTTGGTAGACACCCATTACAACATGTTTCATGCTAAATATCTTAGCTCTAGCTCTTTGAGTTCTTTAAAAGAAGATTTTTTAGGTTTATACTATATGCATATAGGGAAAATCAATGACCCCCTGGGGCGGGGCCAATTTTGACCCTAGGGCTTTTATTTGAACAAAGTTGGTAGACACTCACTAGAAGACGTTTCATGCCAAATATCTAAGCTCTAGCTCTTAGGGTTTTTTAAAATAAGATATTTAAAGTTTTTTCTTTCGGTTGCCATGGCAACCAGAGTTCTGCATGGAATTAAATTCTTTGAACAATTTTTAAAGGTGACCACCAAAGGAACATTCCTGTGAAGTTTGGATGAAATTGGTCTAGTGGTTTATGAGATGTCATTTAAAGTAAAAGTTTACGGACGACGGACGGACGACGGACACCGGACGAAAAGCGATCACAAAAGCTCACCCTGTCACTTTGTGACAGGTGAGCTAAAAAGTTAATATCCAATATGTCCTGTACGCCTCCCTCAGCTTGTTTAACTTTTTCTAATTATAAGGAAAGTAAATATTATGTTTTAAGCAAATTATTTATCTTATTACAAATATCATAAATAAAGCAGTAGGTATTAACTTGGCATTATTAGTACATGACTGACTGTATTTAAAAATATATCACAAAAACTTACCTGTCTTGCTGAATGACTTGACTGAAGCATGCCGATTGCGTGTGCGGGCTCTTGTAGATTCTAACTGCATGCGAATCATTTTACGTTTTACAGAATGTCTATTATTTTTCAACGTTCCAAACTCAATTTTATAGTTACATTGAAATAAAACCAACAATCGATTTCCTCGTGCAGAAAGTTGATTTCATACCTTTAGAACGTGTAGAACCGATAATCCGTCCATGGATGAATGATTTCGTTGAAAATGTTCGCAAAAAGTAGTCAAACCGGTTATGGTAAATAGTAAACTGTTTTTATGAAATACGAATTTAAAGAGTGTAAGAACATTTAAAGTGTTTGCCCGAAATGTTGCTCCAAAGGCAGACGAATTAACGTTTGATGAAATAAGTGATAAATTATGGTGGCTAATTTGTGCCATTCGTGTTTTCGGCCCGCGACCCCGCCAAGCGAAAAGTCGTAAATTAACAAGTTAAAATGACGGCGGGCGCAGCTAAAACACGCTAATAAGCGAGGGCGCGGGGCGAAGTTTAATAAATAAAACTTCGTCCCGCGGGGGCGCGGAGCGAGATTTAAGAAATAAAACGGCGGGATCGCGGGAAAGACGAATGGCACAAATCAGCCACCATAGTAAATTATTAATTTCTATGTCTCGTGCATTTGATATTCCTTAACCTGAGACAGTGAAGCCCAAAAGAAAATAGGCTACAACATGTACAAAATGCAATCACGATGCATCCAGCCTGAAGGCCTAAGACATTTCATCAAAACAAATTCTTCCCCACCAATGCCATGTGCTTAATTATGAACAGTGGTTAGAAAAATTAATTGTAAACAAAAATGCTTCAAAGTTGTATAATAATTTAGTTAAACAAGTTCCTTATCTGATGCACGAGTGAATATAGAATGGATGAGAGTTATATATAAATTAAGGCGCTAGTCGAATATTAAATTTGTCTGTCAGGCAATGTTTTCCCCCGTCAATTACTTGTATAACTGTTTTTTAATTAGATTTTTTTTTCTCATTTCTCAGTTCTGCCTACACGGCAGCAAGTTCACTTTCGACTGGGTTGGTTTGGACGGCTGTAAAATTCTAATGAAAAGACGCATTGGCATGATATTTTCAAATAAATATTTTTATTTATTTCAAACTCTTAGAAGTATACTACATGATTCAAACTGATGGTCACGTAGCACCCTACACTATTTTCATGATCTTCTATCGACTTACTCCTATAATTGTATATATAAATTAAGTCCTGTTACGTCTTCATTACAGCCATGGTCTCATATAAATACAGTCTGTGGTACACTTAAAGCTTGTAATTTAATATTAAATTGACACAAAGATAAAACAAATCTACATAATTATAAAATCTCATTTTATTGACATTATATTTCTCATGTTTGAAGTATAAGTCTTACATTAAATGCAAAACTGACAAATGACAAATAAACACAGAAATATACTAATGTATTTGTACATTCATAAGGGGTAAAGAAGTCTTGTTAAAACGGCAATTTCAATTGCTTATATTTGTTCATAAAAACCTTAAAGGAGCTTCATAGAGGTCCAAATGCAAAACAAACATACATTTTAAATTCATACATTGATTAACTGGGACACTAAAAAGGGACACTTATAAATTATGGCAAATTTGCTTTGGTTGTTTTTTTTTTAAACTTTTTGCCTTTTATTGCTTTTTAAGAGTTTGTCGGAATTTTGAAAGAATTATTACTGATGTAAGATGATTTAAATTCATATATCAGTCATCTTTTACCCAATATATAAGATTATTCAAATTCACAGTCTAAATTGATGGGATATTTCACTTATTAAAATAATTTGTATCTTCTACATATTATATTCCACAAACATAAAATCATAACACAACAATTATTAAAAGTTCCACCCTAAACATATTTAGTTATTTACAAATCCAAGAACACTGTCACACTAGTTGTTTTTCATATGAACACAGAGTTTGATTAAAACACAGGTATATATTTCGATCCCCATAAAAAAGGCACTGATCTATTATATATATGATATTAAATTAAGTCTGATGCAAAACATTTTATATGGTGAAACACATGTCATAATTATAACATCTTAAATAACAAGAGCTGTTGGTAAGGCAGGGCCCTGAACTATTCTCAGTACTTGATAGTAAAACAAGTGTCTGAATAATGTAAAGTTTAAAAAAATGTCATAATTTGGCAAATCTATGTAAGAATTAAAGGCCTTGGTCAGTGACCTCCTATTATGCTCTCAAATAAGTGTGTGAAGTTTCAACCGCCTCACTTTGATA